CTGCAGAAACCCTGTGAAAAAATACTGGAATAAGCCAAAAGCATTTTTTTTGTTTTTTCATATTCCAAACATTGTAGTAGGTTTCTGGTGGCCAGACTGACTTACTACAGCTGAAATATTGCCAATACCTCCCTTACTTTATGTACAGTATACAAATATTTTTATGAAAATAATTACAATAATTCATTCAAAGGTTTTTTTTCATATTCCAAAGGTTGTAGTAGGTTTCTAGTGGGCGGACTGACTTACTACAAGTGAAATTTTGACAATACCTACGTTACAGCATGTACAGTATACAAGTATTGTAATGAAAATAATTACTGTAATTCACCAAAAGTTTTTTTTTTTCAACCTTTTCAAAGGTTGTGGTAGTTTCCTGATGACCAGACTGACTTACTACAGGTTACTTTCTGCCATTACCTCCCTTACTGTACAGTACACAAATAATTTTGTGAAAATAATTACAATAATTCACCAAAAAGTTTTTTTTTATATTTCAAAGGTTTTTGGTTCTGTTCCACCGCCGCCGGTACCCAAAATTTAATCAAGAAAGCAGTCCCCTCTATCTCTGGGTGTACTGTTCTGGGTCAACTAACAATGAGCTTCACGCTGCCTCCTCATCCTCGGTCACCCTCTCCTTCACCTCAGTGGTTTGAGGATGTGTCACTTCCTCATGCGGTGCCTGCCTGCCAACCCATCGCGGGATCCTCTGATCCAGGCAGGCTCTCTTCTCATTCATACTGACGATTCTTTTCCTCGGTTGGGCCCTAGTGCTCCATCTCATTGCCCCTCCTCGGGCACGTCTGTGACTCCACTGGTACTGTTTGTGCAGAATCTGGGGTCCTGGTTAGCACTCCCCTGTCTGGCTCGCTGGCTGCTGTGGACGGTCAGACTCAGCTATACGATTCAGTTCACCAGGTGCCCGCCCAAGTTCAAGAGTGTTTGTTTCACGACAGTATCCAATGTCAATGAAGGATACCCTCACGCCCCTCAGGGAGATGGGCATCCAAATCTTGAATCTCAATGACTAGCTCAATCTACCTCAGTCTCAAGATTTGTTGTGCCAACACTGGGACCTTGTGCTCAGTCACTTAGGCCGTTTGGGACTTTGGTTCAACTGGGAAAAGAGAAAACTCTCCCCTGTGCAAAGTATATCTTTCCTCACTATGGAGTTGGATTTGGTCAACTCCCGTGGATTGTCACTCCCTTTCGAAATCAGGTGGTGAACCTGCAAGCTCCCCCGGAGGAGGCAGACCCAGCCCTCGCACTGCTGTGTCCTGTTCTTGCCCTGCGGATTTATGTGGACCATATTCAGTGTTTCAGAACATCTGAGCGGCTCTTTGTCTGACACCTGACTTCGTGCTTGTGTGAATGCCTTGCTTGTCAGCCCCTGCACATGGCCTTGTGCTCCGCGCTGGGATTCCTGGTTTGGTAATCTTGTGCATTTATTTTTCCACAGTGTACCCTGTGTCTTTCCCTTGCAAAAGCTTTTCCCTTGCAAATACCTGTACTTTGTTCTTCCAGTTGATAGAACATCATAGAACGTTCATTCAGAACGAATCTGCTGCATGGTTCAGAGGTTAACTTAGATGCATACGAAACGGCGGGACATAAGCTAACACACTTGGTTGCTGCACGTCGCATAAAACGTTCAAAAATGTCGATATGTGGGAGTAAGAGAAGAGCAGACACATGGATAATTCTGACGACGCAAGAGAGAACTCAATTCGGTCCGGTTTTCTGAGCGCAGACACCGAAGCATAGGCTACACACAGAAAGCGCGTCTCACAGCGCGCGAGTACTCTTTCGTGTCACATGAACAGAGAATTACACACAAAATGATATTGAATTGTCCATTTTGACGAGTATTCACGTAAACACAGTTGATTACGTCTTAAGTGAACATAAACAGTAGGGAGAACGTGTATCAGTACATTGCATCCATTGCAGCTGTGTATTCGGTTTTAAAGGGACAGCAGCTTAATTTAGTTGCTGTCCGAGTCATTTATGTTAATCAAGCAACAAATGAAAGACAGAAAATCACGCACTGCTCTTGACTGAAAAACTAGCAGCACTAAAGATTAATCTAAATGTATTTATAGAAATAAATATGTCTGCTTGAAAGAATGAAGAATATGGTAAACAAGTTGCTATAAAGAATACATAATTAGCCTATATAACCATTGGTATTTCATTAAAAAGAAGACCATGTTCTTGTTCTTTATGAGAAGTGGTTTTATTTAATTTTAACATAAAGGCATGTTGTGAATCCCTGCAGTTATATCGGTGTCTATCATGATAAAACTTTAATAAACCTATATAATGAGTTTGGACATTTTAGAGAAATGCTTAATAAATGAACTGTACTTTAAATGCATTACACTGTAACTAAACCCATTTTTACTGTAGATTTAGTCAACTAAAATTGTATGATATTTAGTCGATTAAAACTAAAAAGATGACTAAAATATGACTAAAACTAAATGGCATTTTAGTCAAAAGACTATGACTAAAACTAAATCAAAATTTGCTGTCAAATTAACACTGCTAAATTACAATGATTCATCCAGTATTCGCTGATTCATCCAGTAATGAAAGTACATCTTGAGTGAGTCATTTAATCATTCATTCATAAATTACATGTGATTTTGTTTAGTTGTCTAATGTCTTTTCTTCAGAATCATGAGAGAACCACAACTTCCATTGGGGGGGGGAAAAAAGAAAGAAAAAAAACTCCATTTATCCAGAATCATGCGGCTTTATTTTGCACACAAACAGCTCTTAAAGAGTCCAGTTTTTATGTAGCCTGTTGATTTTTGTTCATGGATTTCATCGTAACATATAGGCCTGGCCTATACACAATACACAATATCCAACCCTAATCTCCATACATTGTCAGTTTGTATGTAGTTCTCCACATATTTCCTCCCCTTCTGGGCAGGGTGTGGCCTCTGCAGCATTACGTTTTCCCTTTCACGGGCACACTTTCCGCAGTGCTTTGTTGTAAATTAGAGAAATCGGAAATTATTTTTAGGAACCGTAAGGACTGCTCCCATGTAATCCTGTCTTGTCTGTCCCACATTACAGTAGACTTTGTTGATTTTCATGGGGTCCTGGGAAGGGCTGTTGGTTGTGGTGTTTTCCATAGGGAATGTAATGTCGCACGTGATTAAATGAAAGGGAAGGTCTCGGTTACTGTTTTAACCCTCGTTCCTTGAATGAGAGAATGGAGATGATACGTCCCTCATGCTACAACCGCGGGCCACCTGTGGGGTGCCGGGATCCCATCTCAGCTCTACAGCTGGGAAATCTGCGGTGAGTGTGCTGCCGATTTCCTTATATACCCCATGGGTAACAGGGAGGAGATTTGGCATGCAAATCTCACCAACCACAGTTCATTGGCTCTTTCTCTTCTTAACTGAAGGTTATTGAGGCTTCCAAGTGTGACCCCATATGTCAGTATCAATGTAACCTCTCCGTTCTCTCATTCAGGGAACAAGGGTTACAGCAGTAACTGAGACGTTCCATAGGTGGCAAGCGCACACACCACAAAGTCCACAAACATTCTCGAGGATCACTGGTGGGCAGCTGTGGCCTTATCTGCTCATTAAGCCTGGCGTGTTAAAATAAGCTTTACGAGTGGTCAGGAAACAAAGTCAAACAAGACACTTGTAAAAAATCCCTCATGTGGTCCTCGAGGGATCTCCACCACTGCTCCAAGAAGAGCAAACACACACCTGGCAAGTCTAGATTTGTTGTGGGGTTCTGGTATTCTGTCACATTGCTGAGTTAAAACATTCACTGGAGGCTGGAATCAAAATCCAGGGAAATTTTATTTTAATCCACCAACAGAAAAATAGAGAATCAGAGGAGAAATAACACAACACTAAAATAAACAAAAATATGACTAATACCAGAACAAAGACTAAGGAGAAACATTGAGTATAAATAGTGACACCAAACGAGGGAACAAAATAATGCAAACCTGAACTGAGCATTCATGTAACAAACTGACAAGAAAACTGAGAGGACCAAGCGTTTTAACATGCTAGAAAATCAACTGTGAAAATCGAGCATGAACAGATATGAAAAACATATCCAAAAAACAAAACTAAATAAATAAATATCAGGAGCATTAAAAAAAAACTTGTTGAATTACAGTAACTTTTTTTATAAAAATATTTGTGTATTGTACATACAGAAAAGGAGGTATTGGCAAAATTTCACCTGTAGTAAGTCAGTCTGGCTACTAGGAACCTACTACAACATTTGTCAAATGAATAAACCTTTTTGGTGAATTACTTATTTTTTTCTAAATATTTGTGTACTGTACATACAGTAAGAGAGTTCATGGCAAAATTTCAGCTGTAGTAAGTCAGTCTAGCCACCTATTACAATGTTTGAAATATGATTTTTTTTTGTGAATTACTGTAATTATTTTCATAAACTTATTTGTTGTACTGTAAGTACAGTAAGGGAGGTATTCACAAAATAAGTCAGTGTGCTCACTAGGCATGTACTGTAACCCTTTAAACATTAATTAGAATTAATTATTTGACTTTGTTTTGCGCTGTGAGTTGAATTTGTAGACGGTCCCTAAAGCAGCCTAGGCAAATATGCAGCCAATATCAAACCTAAAATTAACTTCACAGCACTTCTTGATTTCTGTTAATAATAACAACAACAGCAAATCAGTGCAGCAGAAATCAACAGGTGTTTATGACCAGAATCAATATAAGATTTTTTTTGACATGTCATGTGTCAGGTTTAAATCCTGACTAGGCATTGGACAAATCAAGTGCTCTTGGTGTTAATCTGCTTTTGCCAAAATCCATCCTGTTAATGACGTAGAGCTCTTTTATGTGTGTCACTTATCTGTCACGCACCTATTTTTGTATTATGCACCTGTGTTAAATGATTCTTTAAAAATAAGAGTAGAGGAGAAAGGGAACAAGGCTATTTAGAAGAGATTTCTGAAGCCCTTCTGTGTTTTCCTTCAGTAGAAGCTGAAACAGACCTGCAGATGCAGCTAATCGAGTGTCGAGCTCAGCTGGAACACTGGCAGGGTGTGGCGAGGATCTGCGAGCTTGGCAAACAGGAGGAGCTGCAGGAACTGCAAAAACAATGCGACCAGGAGATTCAGTCCTTGCAGGAAGCTCTGAGAGGTGAGGATTGAGAGGGAGGGATTGAAGGAGTGTGGTCACCTAAGGTGGAGGTAAAGCACAAGTCTGTTTGGGCGTTGTTGATTAATCATGAAACTTCTGTGGAGAAAAACCACAGCGTGTCTTTAAAGTAGCTTATCTAAAAGTAAAAAATGATTTCAATATTTACTGTTGTTGTCAATGTTTCATGTCGTTCCAAACCGTTTTTTTCTGTGAAACGCATAAGGAGAAGAACAGTTCTTTCCATACATCATGATAGCAATGAAATTTTGTACCCAAAAGTGCAAAACGCCATAAAAAACCCTTTTGAAGTTGGCTTGAAATGGAAAATGTCATCGTCTTTTCTTCACTATTGTGACGAATAACTTCTCTAATGAGAAAAAAATAGGATGGGACTTGACTTTGTCTATCAGGAATTGATTCAATCATTGGATTTTTGTCATTTGTTTATTGTGAGTGACAAGTTGCTGGAGTGGAGTGACAGGTTGCTAAAAGGGAGGGATTATTGTCTGTCATTCACACTGATGCACACGTCATCAGAGAAGAAAGGGAAGGGAAGTTCATGTTTTTGATGAAAGGTTATGAGGGCACATGAATTTAAAAAGACTGATGGTGTGCATGGATAAATCATGTATATTACAGTAATGCTTCACTGCGAGCCAGTCATTATTATTGAATAATGACTACATTTCAGTCTGTTCATCACGCAAAGCTTTCAGAAGACGTCTGACACAAGTCATATTAATTAATTTTATGGTACTTTTATGAAGTTTTTTCAGCATACAGCATACAGGTTTGAAACCTAGGCAGAGTAAATGATGACATTTTTTAAGTTTTTATTTTCGTGAATGAACTTTTCCTTTAAATTTGGCTTGAAATCAAAACTGACCTGTTTTTTCTTCATGCATTGTGGGTTATGTATATAAACTCTCTTGCCACGAATTGTGATTCTGCAATATTTTTACCCCAATTATCAAAATCCCATCCAATTACCAAGTACAATAATGCAGCAAAATAAAATACCTGCCAATGAAATAAAACTATAACAGAAAATATGTAATATAAAATATGTAAATAAAAACAAATAAAAGGGGGTGCTCAGCTTAACTGTCTGTAGAGTCAGCCAGTATATTATCCAAAAAGTGACACTACCTTATCAAAGGTCTTTAAACGGTTACTTCACCCAAAAATAAAAATTCTGTCAATAATTACTCGCCCTCATGTCGTTCCAAACTCGTAAGACCTTCGTTCATCTTCGGAACACAAACTAAGATATTTTTTATGAAATCGGAGAGCTTTCTGACCCTCCATAGACAGCAAGGGAACTACCACATTCAAGGCCCAGAAAGGTAGTAAGAACATCGTTTCAGCCTTTCATCGCCTTGAACGTTTCAGTTGCATTGCTGTCTATGCAGGGTCAGAAAGCACTCGGATTTCATCAAAAATATCTTAATTTGTGTTCAGAAGATGAATGAAGGTCTTACAGGTTTGGAACGACATGAGGGTGAGTAATTAATGACAGAATTTTCATTTTTAGGTGAACTAACTTTTTAAGGAGCCTGTGAGTGAGAATCTGATTTTCTCAAGCTTTATACAAGTAAACACCTCTTTAATTCACTAATAATAGGTGGGGGTGAAATGTGTTTCCACTTTAAAATAAGGAGAAGTCTAGCTAATAAAGTTGTAAGGCCAGAGCTTTTTGCAGTGACATCGGAATGACCTTGTTATCTTTAATCAAAATGAGATACAACTCACTTCATCCCTGCTGATGTATTTAAGTCTGCGCTATTGCCAATCACATTCCTGTATGCAACACTCACTTTTCACAATCCAATTAACAACCAAATTCCTCTGGCTTAAACAGTAGAGCATAGCGCTAGCAATGCCATGGTTATGGGTTTGATTTCCAGGGAATGCATGAACTGTTCAAATGTGTACCTTGTAAGCAGTGCAAGTCGCTTTGGATAAAAACATCTGCCAAATGTGTAAATGCAATCAATAAAAAAAACTTTTTTTTTCTTGTTCGATAAGCCGTTGCATTTAGAAGTATGTTAGAATTCAGAAGTTCAGTTGATTGCAGTTTCATTTCATTTGCCAGCTTGAATGTCATGAAATGGAATTTAACCCAAAGAACTGGAAGCGACAGGGAATATGTGTTTCAGTATTACTTTGTGACTGATCCCAATTTTTTCACATCCTGTTTTTTTTCCCCATCTTAGAAACAGTTGCTCAGTATGATGCTAGAATATCTGTTCTGCTGTCAGAACGAGCACAGTGGAGGAGAGCCGCCTCGCCCAAGGAGACTAAGGTTTGTGTGTTTCTGTGTCCTGCCTTCTCTTTTTCTTTTTACCCTTTTTGTTATCTAAGTACTGAGGCCAAGAAATACGTACTGATATTTTTTGACACATTATGTGTCTGTTTCCCTTTTTTGAAAGATCTTTTGGTGTCTATATTATAGTGCGCCTAAGTCACTTCTACATTTTACACATTTCTTTGTGCATGCAGGGGATCTCTAAAAAGGGCAAGGTGGAGGGTACCTCTCCTCCACAGGGTGCTGACCATGAGGGCTCAGGGTCAGACTCTGATCCACTGGAGCTGTTGGCAGAGACATCAGATACAGAGACAACAGGCCTTATGATGGACTACTTTCCCCAGCACTGTGACTCGGCCTCCCAGTCTTCTTTCTCTCTGGACACACCCTCTTTGCCCCGACATCCGCCCCCTCAAGATGACACCGCCTCCCTGGTGTCCACAGGAACATTAGTGCCTGAAGCGATCTACCTGCCACCACCGGGGCACAGACTGGTTACGCATTCAGACTGGGACAAATTGCAAGCACAAGTCAGTATGCGTCTAGTTTTTCTAGCAGGATTCCCACGACCATGGAAAACTGTATCAGGAAATTTTAAGATTGTGGTTGCCAGGTGTGGAAAAGTCATGAAAATGAACGAAATACTAAAAGTAATGGAAAGTTTTTCTAGTTACACTTGGCTCTAAAACTTTTAACAGCTATAAATTACTCTTCATGAGTGCAGTCCTAATCCAGTAATAGCAAACGATTTGAAACAACATGGAAATGTATTAGTCAAAAGGTGTGGGACATTTCTAGCCTGTTGTTTGTTAATCAGTGCATTAGAGGTCACTGATGTCAGTGCATGATGTCACTATCTTTCAGCTAACTTGTTGAATCTGATATCATGGCATTTTTAGCTTGTAGAGCTTCAAGAGGAGGTGACAGAGCTTCAAAAGCAGAAAGCTGAGCTGGAGAGAGAACTGGATGTGCAAAGCACAGAGACACAAAAACGGGTACAGAAACTCTCAGTTCCTCTTTCGCACACAGACCAAATAAAACACATTCAGAAACAGTTGCATTCCTTAATATTTTTGTAAAAAAAGTCATACAGTGATACAGTTCAAAAGATCAGCATTTATTTGAAATAGAAACTCACTTTTAATCAATTTAATGCATCCTTGCTGAATAAAATTATGTACAAACATTTAACTGACCCCAAACGTTTGAGTGGAAGTATATAATATAATATAATATTTTTTTTCAATGTGGTTTAATTGCTTTGAGCATACACCCTGATATAGCATATCTACAGTTGATTACTTTCAAAGCAAATATATCAAATATATTGATATCTTTGTGTTTTTGTCTATTGCAGTTGTCAGTGCTTCAGTCTCAGGTGCAAACATCTGAGACCCTTCTTCAAGACCTACAGAAATCTTTTAGCCAGTCACAAAATGCCGTTCAGAGCAGATTGGTGAGTAGCAGGTGAATGGTCCAATCAAAGGGCGGCAGGAATCCATAATCCAAAATCTTGATGATATCACAAACTGTTTAAGATTCTGCATGTACTTTTTCACGCAGGCAGAGCTGTCTTACTCTCAGAAGAAAGTTTGTAATGAACTCTCCAAGTTGAAAGGTGAAGACACTGATGTGGATGAAAATAGCCTTCCACCGCACAGTCCAACACTAGAGGTGTGTGTGTGTGTGTGTGTGTTTATAAGCAGGTTTCACGAAAGGAGGCCAGAGGTGTGGACTGTGGAGCAATTGAATGTTGTGTGTGTGTGTGTATTTGTCTTAAGTCATTAAGTCGGTGTGTATCTCTATACATAGGCAGCTCACTGTGAGGAGAGGCTTCGTATTGAAATAGTCAACCTACAGGAACAGCTGGAGACACGCACAGAAGAGAGCGGTCTGTCTATATCATTAGATTACATTTTATGCATGTGATATACACGTTTTTGCAAAGAGACTTCTTCTTCCCTCACTGTTCTTAAAACATTTAAATAAAATGTTTCACAATGAATCATTTCAATCATGTCTGGCATTTGTCCTGTTTGTTGAAGCTTTTGATTGTGTTCATTCCTCAATGACATGTTCTCCTTTTTGTCTCTTCTCCTCATCTTTCTTGTCTCATCTGCTCCTCCAGAAATTTTAGAAGGTAAATCATATATACTTTAACTTTTTGTCAATAGTGTAGATCCTACTTGTTGTATGAGGGCAGGTGTTGATATTTTAGTGTTTTGCCATGAAACTGTGTGTCCAGTGTCAGTTTGCGATTGAATTCTCTTTCCCTCAGTTAAGCTTGCCAGCCTGACAGTAGAGACAGACCGCATACAGGTCCAAAAGGAAAAGGTATGGCAGCTTTTAATTCTCAGGTGTTATTTCTTATGGGACTAGGTGGTATTCAAAAATGTTCTCCACATCCCTTTGCTTGTTTCTTTTCATATATGAGTCCACTGTGTACTGCTAAAATGCTCAATCAAATCAGTCTATTAAGACATTTTTTGAATGTCAAGTGCCATTTGCTTGTTTGTACTTCAGTGGCACTGTAACCTTTAGGATTTCTCTGTAAGCTAAGGTCCTTTGGTTTTAGTCTAACTTGACCTGACAGTTTCATTGTGACAAATGAACTGGAAGTAAGAACATCTGTATATTGTGGTTGTTGTTGTTATTAAATATTTATACTTTCTAAATATGATATGCGTGTTTATGTGTGTGTGTGTGTGTGTGTGTATTTATGTATCTGTGTTTGACTCATTTAATCAGACTACCAATAGTTAAGACATTTTTTACACAATATTACAAAGTGGATAAATTATTTATTCCTTTATAATTGGATGCATTCACAAAATGAAACATAATGAAGTCATGTGACAACAATGTAGCATAGTGTTGTTTGAAATGTTTGTTGTATAATGCCTAGCATTAGCTTGACATATTGTTGTGTACAATGCAGTACACTAGTATTCCAATAAGAACGTTTCCATTGTCCCATCTGTGTGTGCAGTTGGAGGCTGAGCTGCAGGAGTGTCGTGTGGAGGTGAAAGGTCTGCGAGTGGCGCTTTCTCACCTTCAGAAGGAGAACAAATCTCACATCCAGGAGAAGGTAGGCCTGCATCTTGGTGTGAATAGGTGAATATCATTAAATCTGATTATATAGTAGTTTACATCTCTCTATGTCTTTCAGGCAGCATTACAGCAGCAGTGTTTAGAGTGTCGCAGTCAGGTGGTCAGTCTGCGCTCTCAACTAGACACTAGTCAAGCTGTGCAGAAGGATTTTGTGCAGCTGTCGCAGTCACTGCAGGTACTTCACTGATTTAGGATCAGCATCGAGTTTATACTCTTCATCTATCCTGCATAAATTCTGCAGTCTCTGTTGAAAGTTCATCAATTGTTGATGACACACATAAGGCTGTGTCCTCACTGCATGATTTCTACTCTCAGGCTGCGTTTACACTCTTAATGCACAGATCCGATATTTTCACCATATCCGATTTTTTGTCCCGCCTGTTTACATTCACTTTAGACATGCCTCGTGTCCGATATCTGTGTTTAGACTAATCTCCCGCCTAAAATCATTCCACTGGCTTTCACGACCATGAGCGCAACGACTGACCCTCGAATTCTGCATGGACTTCTGCTTATTCATCTTTTAAACTTTTAAACTAAATGAATGGATACTGTTAATTATTACCTTCTTCTGCATCTGCATTTTCATTCTTTGGCATGTCTTCAGCCGTCAAACTGTCCAGAACTTCGGGGGGTCGGCAGCTAGGTTTATCGCCCAAAACTCACTCCATTTGCTCATAAAATGGACAGGTTGTTCTGTCCACTGCGGTTGTTGTGATCCTTGGCCTCCTTATATTTGGCTTTAATGCTCTTTATCTTGCGTTGGCATTGCAGCCAGGTTCGGTTGTAGCCACCCTCATGCATGGCCCGTGTTATGTCTTCATAGTCACAGCCCGATTTCTGTATGCAATTTTGCCTGGGTTGATGCCTCTCCCCATAAACGAATTAAACGTGACGCCGCCTCCTGGCTCCACTGACTTCCATCCATCGCAACACATAAATATTGTGACGCCGCATGCAACTCGTGCTTGAAACAGGCGCGAAATGATGACGTTCAACGCAATCCGTAGTGGAACAGTGACGTAATTGACACAGAGAATCGGATATGCGTGTTTAGACGTAGATCGGATGTCCAAGATATCGGATATGTATCTGATTTAAAACCACATTTGGAAATGGCTCAGATCGGATGCGAAAAAATCGGATCTCGTGTGGATTTTTGTGTTTACACGCATGCATCAAATTCCGATCTGTGTCAGATGTGGGCAAAAAATCTGATTTTTTCTGCCAGTGTAAACGCAGCCTCATACTCTGTCTGTGACAAAAACTTTAAGCATAAGTTTTTTTGAAATAGTCTTTTCGTTTCTTCTCTCTGCATTCTCAGGTGAAATTGGAACAGATTCGCCAAGCAGAATCTTTAAACCAAGTGAAGCACATTCTAGGGGAGGAGCTTGAAGACACCAATTTAGCTGCTGATGCCACATGAAACAATATAAGAATAGGTGACATTTTGGCCAACCAAAGGGAAGAGACTCTGGTGGGCAAGGAGGTGGTCCTCAGAAAGGGCCAAGCTGAGGTGGGCTGCCTACATAAAAAAAAACAAAAAACAAAAGCCTGCAGTGGCATGAACTAAACGGCCATTCCTGCACTCATGGGTTCACACTTCTTCTAATGAACTCAAACTATATGGGGAAAAACATGATACCTTTTCAATCTGGACAAACTGGAATTGCTAATACTTTAATTTTGTGAAAAGCTAATACACTGACTACTAGCTGTACGAGACTAGCAGTACTACTGCAGTGTAAGTTTTTCTTCCTGGCCTAATCCTTTTTTCCTAATAGACTGATGGATATATATTACTTATATTCAGCACCTGTCACCAGCAATAAAAACCAAAAAAACATACTGGGGATGGATACTGGGGGCAATTGTAACTTTATAATATATAATCTTTTCCTTTATAACCCAGACTACTACAGATCTACTACCTGCTGTCGCTATAAGAAAAAATGATATGTGCCAAAGTAACAATATCATTAATAAACATATTCAAAGGGAATATTGTAAAATGTAATATTATTCCATATAATACGTCTGAATATTTCTCGCCTTTATATGGTACTAATTATTTTAGCTGTCAAATAATGTTTTAAAGTGAAAGATTAAATGGTAAATGCATTACAATTGTTTGAAATGAGATGCAACCTTTTTACTACACTATTTTAATAAGTGAAGTGTAATTAGTTGTTGACTAGATGCTAGTCTTACAATATATTAGTGTTTTAAAGATTAAATCTTCAAATTCATACCATTTTTATTCATAAGTAGTTACAATTGCCCCCAGCTTCACAGCCATGGTGAAATCTTTTATGATATCCACCAGCAATAGTGTTAGCATATTCCTTTTATGTTAATTTAAAGCCAACAACCAAGAGATAAAATAAATATTACTTTAAATTAATTGCATTAAAACCTTAGACAACTTAAGAAAATATTACACCTTAAAATGTTTTGTACCTCTAATGGTTTTTTGTTGAAACTTTATTTCAAAGTGAAATATTCATATTTACTGTTATCAGACAGATAGAGAACTTATTCTGAAAAGGTGCCATAACTTTAACCTGAATAAATTTTGTGTGCAACAGTTGCCCCCTGCTATAATACTACCTACCCTACTGGAATTATTTGTGCATTCAATTTAAGGCCAAAGTCACTTTAATGGAAAGAGCCAACATTTCATTATGAAGTATCTGGTGCCTGAGCCAATGATCAGTGGTATGTTAATGAGATGATAAAACACTAAATCTAAGTTTGAATGGAGCTAATAAATGTTCATTCATATAAATGTAGAACAATGTTAGTAACAAATCTGAGTGCATTACATGTGTATGAAAAAAATAAAGATTCAACTAAAAGACAGTAACAGATCACACTTGCTTTTTATACATCTCTTTATTTTAAGAATAGCATTTTCATTAGAATATACTGTTCATAACAATATATATATATATTATATATATTAAATTAAGTCTTAATACATATACATATCACATTTTACTTAAATAATTTTTTATTTTCTATAAGGTTTTACATTTCATGGTTGACTTTCACTGGTTCACAGTGGTTTTCTTTTTCCCTCCTGGCGAACTTAATTTTTCTGCTGTTTTGCTCATTTCTTCGCTTTTTCAGTCCCACTTTTTGGACACTAGATTCTCATCTTTCTCTGTTCAAGAAAATAAGTTATGTGAGACAGGATGGCTTAAAGATAGTCCACAAAAAAGTTTAAATAATCTAGGCACACATTGCTTTGAATCACATAATCCTAAATGTATAGTCTTAACACATCTTTAAATATGGAAATATTCTTTAACCTAATTGTTTTAATTGAACAGAATCTACTGTCTGAATTAACCAGACAAAAGCACATGTATGAAGATGAATTTAGCATTAAGACTGCATTTTCTCTGCTGATAATGATATTAAGATTCTACAATGGCATCTATTGCTATATGGAGCATTATTACTGATTCAGCAGTCATGAGGTCTAAGGAGCTCCATGTCTGACACTAGACTGTATATACATGTCAGTCAACAAGCCAAAGAATGTAGCACAATTTGTCCTTACACAAACAGGGATGCAGGCAGGCATGGACAGAGAGGATTGTGGGATACTTTGCTTTGTTACAGGAATATGGAGGGAAACAGGATTAGGCTGGAATGAAATAAAGGGGGATTGAGTGAGGAGGAAAAGGGTAAGGAAGAGTAGTATTTACACCACCAGAAGAAATGGAGCGCAGAGAGGAGGTGTTCAAACAAAGAGGACAAGAGATAAGTAAAGGAGAATACGATTTTAAAAGGGAAATGAATAAGTCATCATAGGAATTTTTATTTGCTTGTTAAACCGTTAGTCAGGTCTTAAGTGGTTTTAACCAATATTTAGTTATGTATTTGTATGTTACTTTAAATATGCTTAGTATGTTTAGTTTATTTTAAATATCAATATCCAGGAACTTTTTTTTTTTTTGCATGATTAATTATTGAATATTTTATCTACATTTGTCAAGATTTACCATTTGCTTTAAATGGTTACTTACGTTCCAAGTAGTTGCGGGCAACAAACTTGAGCAGCTCGTCAATAAGGATGACGGGGAAGGAAAGCTTCAGTACAACGATCCACTGGGTCACGTTGAGATGGGTTAGCTTGAAGATCATCTGTCAGAGGGCAAGGCAGAGATTAGCAAATAACAGCAGATAATTAAATCCAGTTGGACTGGATGATGTGATGAATTAATGAATTGAAGTGAATTAAAGAATTTGAATATTGCCACTTTATTTTATAATGGATTTGCAACTGAATCAGTGTTTGGGATGTGAATTGGACATGAGAGAAGTGTCTCTTGGCTGGGCCTGATTATGGTTTCCTAAGGCTCCTGGGCACACGTCTTACATCGCCCCCTAGTGGCAGCCCCTTTAGCCTGCATTGCGGTATTGTTAAACACACGAACTGAACCAAATTCAGCATGCTGGATGGACACAGACAGTACTTACAGGCAGAGGGTCCACATAGATGATCATGAAGTGCAGAGACATGGAGAGACTCATGGCTCCCACCAACCACAAATTGCTCCATGGAGGCATACGCACCAGAGACTGATTCTCGGATAAGCTGTGAAACCATGCACCATTGTATGTTACAATCAGCATAAAAACATTTATGATCAGCTGCTTTATAATGTTTGGATATGGTAAGTACTGACCTGTTCAGAGCGTTGCACATCTCAATGGTGACCAGGACAGACAGAGCCATTGTCATGGGAGGAGCAGCCTCGAACACCTCACATTCAATGCCAGCAAAGGAGGAGCAGGGAGCAGCACCTCACATTCAATGCCAGCAAAGTCCTCGTTCTCAGCAGTGCACTGCATAAAGTGGGACTGGGGACAGAGAATAGGTATAGCATTATTATTTTATTGTGAAATGTACCACATTTTTACTGTCTTTTATAGTTATCAATTGTTTCATTCTCAATGTTCAGAGACATCAACCATCAATTATTGTATCTCTGAAGCATTAGCTAGATAATGCTAGATTCTCACCAGCTGGTAGAAGGAGACCATGGGGCCTTCTTCGCAGTAAAGGAACCACCAGCCAGCAGCAGCGACAGTTGCAGCACCAACATAACCTGAGAGAAGAGATTGAACAGAATCGTTAATAGTCTTGAGATAATCAGCGAGGGTACAATATCACTGAATATATGGTGAACCTAGAATGGATCAGGGATGAAGCAGAAATATGGAAAGTAGCACACCTCCAATGGCTAGGTATCTGAAGAAGAGCCAGCCAGAGATGAGAGGCTCTTTGGGGGAGCGGGGAGCCTTGCCCATGATGTCCAAATCCGGGGGGTTGAATCCCAGAGCGGTGGCAGGAAGACCGTCAGTCACCAGGTTCACCCACAGAAGCTGAACTGGGATCAGAGCCTCAGGAAGACCAAGAGCAGCAGTCAGGAAGATACTGAAGAAGATGGAGAAAATAAATCAGGTTTATGGTCAACCTATTCCCGATTCCAAAGGATAAATGTATAAGAGAGAGACTGTCACACACCACACAACCTCTCCGACGTTGGAAGAGATGAGGTAGCGGATGAACTGCTTCATGTTGTTATAAATGGCTCTGCCCTCCTCAACGGCAGCCACAATGCTGGAGAAGTTGTCGTCGGCCAGGACCATCTCAGAGGCTGACTTGGCAACAGCAGTGCCAGCGGCTTTTAATGGTAGGCCTATGTTTTTGTTTGTTGTCTCATACTTTTAGATACCCTGTTATTTGTAAATGCTACTGCTTACGTTAGCTTTTAATATATGGTTTTATCCTGATTAAAGCTTTAATACAGTACGGCAACTGCACGTGCGTCCATGTTAGCCCCATCAGAATTTTGAATAGCCCCGGTTTAGTCTGACGTCATCAATATCATTTATTTTCTTAGCACCCCCACAAATTGGTCTAGCCCCCCCTTAGTACCAGTAGAGAAAAAATTCTGGCGCCGTGCCTGCCTCAGCGGCATGTGCTCCAGTTGTATTGTAAACAACGGCGTCGTTAATATCGCTTATCAGTTTGAGCCCGAAACCGCTACTTTATAACATTGATTTTGAAACTTGTGAATCCATTAGAATCATTAGAAGACAGAATCGCGATTCATATATGAATAGATTTTTACGTGCACCCCTAGTTTTCTCTTCCTCTTCTCTACAGCAGCGCAGCATGGCCTCGCCCCCTTTGCTGCCTTTTCCCGAGGGCGGGGTTTATCTGGGTTTGTGATGTCACGAACCCGGGAAGTAACTTGTTGTAGTCCCTACCAGCCGTTTTTGTAGGCATTAAACTGCCAGAATTTTAAAAGACGATATCTTCGTTTGCATTGAACTTTCAGCTTCGTAACTTTGCAGATATTGTTTATGCTGAAACAGCAACATTACACACTAACTAACGTTAAAAAAGTGAAATCGCAATGAACCACCCCTTTAAGGCATTATAATGAATGCATAATGTATTTATAATACACAATGCATCCACTTAACTTACAATGGATATTTCCCATAGTTATAATGTATTATAAGTCTCATATCTTGCCATTGTTAACTTGTTACTTTACTTAAAGCAGACAAAGACCACTTATAAATAATAACAATAATAATGATAAAAATATTTTTGTCTTAAACAGCCATAAGGTCAGATATCTGGTGAGATGAATGTGTAATATGGCACATATGATTTGAACTATTATTGTAATATCAGTCGAGATATGAGACTTATAATTCATTATAAATTAAGTGGATTTAACGGTGTTTATTGCGTGTTATAAATAATCATACTTATAAACCAAAAATAAGCAAGTTTTATAATGTATTCTAATTATGATTATTTATGAGATGAAACAACATATAAGTTTTCTTTTTATATAATGCATTGTGCATTCATTATAATGTCTTAAGAATACCCTTATAATGTTATAAAAATGGGCTTCATAGAAAGTGTTACCATTTTTTTTCAGAAATAGATCCAAAAAAGCCAAAGCTCCATCAATTTTTATGTCACAGAGCAGCAAGCAGATTGTCAGTCTGCCAGCAAAGTGATGCAAACAGTGACGTGTTTTGGTGCTGTTTCAACAAATATCGGCACTAATTTGAGGATTGAACATAATTTACCTGTGATCATGATCACACGGATACCAGCAGCCCTGCACAGCTCAATGGATCCAACAACCTCTTTACGTGGAGGATCCAGCATACCAACGCAACCTACGAAGGTGAGATCAGTCTGTGAGGAAAGCAAAAAAAGTAGGGGTTAGCTTTAACAAAATTCAGTTATCATGTTAGTTGAAATACAAATGATGTCCCTGTTTCTCTTTCACACAAATACCTCATACTCGGCAAACTTGGTGGAGTCCTCCAGGTTCATTTCCTCCTTTCTCAGAGGGTTGTCACAGGTTGCCAGTGCCAGGCAGCGCAGGGTATCACGGCCAGTTCCCCATTCCTTGATCACAGCCATGATCTTATCCTTAACTGGACCAGTCAGGGGCACACGGGTGGTTCCAACACGCACATAGGCACATCTGTCAATCACACCCTCAGGCGCACCCTACAACAATAACGATTTTGTGATTTAGATTCTCTTTTAGGTATTTAATTTTACTAGGTCTTTTTTACGATTGGTCTTACCTTGACAAACATCTTGTTTCCAACAGGGGCCTTGGAGGCCTTTGCAGCGGAGCAATAGACAGACATGGACTTCCTGTCACGGGAGAACTCAAGAGTAAATTCCTTCTTCATAAGCTGCTTGATCACCTAGGAAACCAAGAGAAGAAAACTACATTGATTTTACGTTTGAATTGGAATTAAATGAAGAATTCAGTCTTGGAACATGAATTTGACAGTTGAACTATTACAAAATATCCGACCATAAACTAAGTGTGTAGAAATACACTATCATAGATATCCTTTTGATATGTCAATCATAAATTAGGACTAAAGATTTAAAATTAGAATTGCAATAAATTCCAAAGGATACAATACAGCTGACCAACATGAACTTAGAGAGCTCCGAAGAGGCTGAGGTACTTACAGTGCAGCATGTGTTGGCTCTCTCCACCTTGGACAGACCACGGACATCAGTGCTGAACACGTTCATCTTTTCAACCAGGCAACACAGGGCAGTCTCTGTAGCTTCACCCACTTTCTCATAGATTCCTTTAGACTGTTAAACAAGAGAGTGAGAGTTAAGCTCAGTTGTTGCTTCACAAATGGAAGATCTTTGATGAAAACGGAACAAATGTTTGTTTACCTCATTGTAGTCCAGAGAGGAGTCATTGCACAAGGCGCAGATGGTTGCCAGCTCAACAAGGCCATCATACTGGCCACACTTGACAGGAAGTCCACGCCTAGTACTGTACGGTAAAGTAAGGAGAATGGTGAGTCTTTCTGTGTGTGTCTGTATGCATGAGAGTCACTTAATGAATATGAAATTACTTACACTTCTCCCTCTGGTGTGTACTTGGATCCAGAAATGTCATACTGGTCAAGAGTCACAGAGTCACCGTCCACCTTCTCAATGATGAACATCTAAATACCAAGAGAACAAAGCTTAAAGCAGTGTGCAAAACAGAAGGGTTTCGTGGTTGTAGTGAGAGGATTGGTATATTGGTGCTTGCTTGACTTCTTTTGAAGCAAGACAATACCTTTGTAACACACATCTGGTTGGTGGTGAGGGTGCCAGTTTTGTCTGAGCAAATGACAGATGTGCAGCCCAGAGTCTCTACAGAGGGAAGAGAACGGACAATGGCATTCTTCTTAGCCATACGGCGGGTTCCCAAAGCCAAGCAGGTAGTGATGACAGCAGGCAGACCTTTTTGGAAAAGAAACAGATGTGTTGGATTTACAAAGTCTGCATTGAAAAGGTGAATCATGAATCTTGTATGAATTTTACTCTTGATTTCACTCTGCTGTACCCTGACTTTTATCATGACTCCTGTATTCTCACCTTCGGGGATGGCAGCTACAGCAAGAGCCACAGCGATCTTGAAGTAGTAGACAGCACCGCGGATCCAGGAGCCACCATGAACAGGGTCGTTGAAGTGGCCAATGTTGATGAGCCAGACAGCCACACAGATGAGGGAGATGACTTTGGAGAGCTGCTCACTGAACTCATCCAGCTTCTGCTGCAAGGGGGTCTTCTCCTGCTCAGTGGCAGCCATCTGGTCACGTATTTTACCGATCTCAGTGGAGACGCTGGTGGCAACCACAACTCCGATAGCCTTGCCGGCAGCGATGTTAGTGCCCTGGGAAAACGAGTGGGAGAGAATGTTTCAGTGCTATACTGCTGGAGAAAGACGAGAGGCACAACAAAAAGCTGAAGAAAGGGAAACTCACAGAGAAAAGCATGTTCTTCTTGTCCTGGTTGACAGCCCTGGGGTCAGGGACAGACTCTGTGTGTTTAATCACACTGACGGACTCACCTGAGAATAAAGTGAGAAAAGAGGTGAGAGAAGGATAAAGATATATGCAATGTTTTGTGAGTATTGGGAGGTAACTGGACATATTTTGTAAATCAGAGACAAACCAGTGAGGATAGACTGGTCAACTCGCAGAGTTGTGGAGCGGATGGCGGTGATTCTGATATCAGCAGGGACTTTGTCACCAACTACACAGGAAAAAGTTGAGAATTAAGAACACGTATATGTAGAGCAATTCATACTCAAATCTTATAGTACTCATAGTAAGAAAAATACAGAAATGCAGAGTGACGCTTGGGGTTAGGGCAGTGGTTACCAACCTTTTTAAGCCCAAGATCCCTGACCTCTGCCTTTATGAAAGACAAGATCTACCTATTGAAGAAATGTAAACAAAGCAATGCTGCTCTGATAAACACTACTTTATACGGAGGAACGAGGAGAAGAAAATGCCATTGAAACTAAATACCTTTTTTTTTTTTTTTTTTACTTTTATTACAAAATTGTCTAAAACTGTATATTTAAAGCTTCTCTAGTATATATTATTATTATTATTATTATTTTATTATTATTATATTCTTCAAGTTCAGGGCTGTTCAGGGCTGTCCAGTCCTGCTCCTGGAGGTCCACCTTCTTATCGAGTTTAGCTTCATCCATACTTAAACAAACATGAACCAGCTAACCAGGCTCTTCAGGACTATAACATCCAAGCACTTATGTTGAAGCTACTCTGCAAGAAAATGGCCCACCAGATTGGCCCCCTGATCTAGTCTAGTCTAAAGATAATGCCACTGTCAATAATGTTTGCTGATCTATTGGTGAAAGATTAGAGACTCAAAAGGGGGACCTGTTCAGGGGGCAAATGCATGAAAGAGAAGAATGACAAGGACAAGCTGACCTTCAACATGGTGTAAACAAGTGGCCTAGAGAGAAAACATGAGTGATGAGGAAGGAACAGGTGGAAGAGGGAAAGAGAAGGGGCAAGGGATCGAAAGGGGGCAAATAGAGGAACAGGTGCTTGGATGTATTTATATACAGGCCTTTTCTTTGCCCATGCTCTCGCCGGTTCTTTCGGCCTTTTCTGATCCCATTACTCTATATTCTTCCTCCCACTGTCACACACACACCGTAATTGCCTTAAAAGGACGCTCACACTTTCTCAAGGGCATGAGTCCCATATAGTCCTGTCCCCTCTGCACATGTGCCTCGTTACTTGACATCACTGTGGTTACACAGTGTAACAGTTGGCTTGAGGGTGTTGCTTACTCTGCATTTCCATTTTCAGACCATTGCACTCTTCTTGTGTGTTAGAGCATTATGAGAATGTTCTGTGTTAATGATGCTCTGCTGTCAGATACTCATGTCCACTGGTATACCTGACACTTCCACAATATCTCCAGGAACAATCTCTCTGGCTTTGATCATCTGTACGCTCTTTCTGTCAGCGCGGTAGACTTTGCCCATCTCTGGCTCATACTCCTTCAGGGCCTCGATGGCGCTCTCCGCATTGCGCTCCTGTGAACACAAAGTTCTTGATCAGTTCCTGCTCCCCTTAGTATTTTACACCTTGACGACACTCTTCTTCCAAGGGTGCGCATACTTTCCAAATGACTGTTGTGCCAGTTGTATGGGCCCTTGATGAAACCTGATCAGCCTCTAGTATTTTTGCCACCGGACCTTTGTGAATACTATGTGAATACTGCTGTGTCTAACCTTTAACCTCTGATGTCATTTACACCATTCTGGGTTCTAATGCTTGCATTCACTGTGCATTTATATAGTGGTCCCAATAATAGTTTTGGATTCTTACGTTACTCTTGAAATGTTTTTTTTTTTTTTATTGTATTAGATAACTGCAAGATAACTACAAGTGGTGTCTGCAAACAAATAATGCTAGAGCTTTTCTTAGTAATACCTTCAGTTTAACCATTTTCAATTATATTTTTAACCAACTGGACAAGGTTATTTTACCATTAGTGGATTTATGAGGTCTGTTTCTCTGTTCACATACAGTGTAATTGTAAATGTAGTTCATCACATTACCAGAAAATTTCTAAATGCTTTTTGTCTTCGTTTGAACAATATATCTACTGTCTTACAATTTAAAACCCTATAAACATGTTTTGTCTGAAAAGTGTTTTCTTTCATTTCTTTTTATTTTAAATTTATTTAAAATTTTACATTTCTCTTTTTATTTTAACAATAAGTGCCTCTTAGTTTAACATTTTGTCATATAATTTATTTATTTATTTTGGCGGTTGCCTCTAGTATCCAGATTCTTTTTGGGGCCACTGTTTTGGGGATGTAAAATATATGTATAATTTCACCTGCCATACTCCAACGACAGCATTAGCAATAAGGATGAGAAGGATGACAAATGGCTCGACGAAGGCAGTGACGGTTTCCTCACCTTCCTCAAACCAAGCCAGTACCTGATGAACAGAGAGAGCCAGAGAGATTGTGAGAGACACATCCAAGATCCATATGGGAGGTGTAAAAAAAATAAAATAATAATAATAATAATTTTTTAATCCACCTCATTAGAGTCTGATTAAAGAGACAGTGGATGTATGTAAAATTGTGCACCAGTCTGGGTGGTTTATGAGGACACAAATTTGTATAATGACATGGGTATGACATAGGTATTACAATGTGAAGGTGGCTTATGAGGACACTGTAATTCCTGTGTCCCCGTAATTCAAAAGGCTTAAAAGAAAATACTAAATGGTGCTTTTTGAAAATCTAAAAATTCACAAAGTTTTCTGTGAGGGGTAGGTTTAGGTGTAGGGTTGGGTAGGGTGATAGAAAATACAGTTTGTACAGTATAAAAACCATTACGCCTATGGAAAGTCCCCGTAAACCACCTCCCACCCACACCTCATATGTACATGAAGTTATGGTTGAGTGTGGTGTACAGCTGATCCAGTAATTCTCACGTGTGCACACACATCACTCGTTTTATGACATGATGGCACCTGCTGTTTGTCTTTCTCTCCCTCACCTTTACAGTCTCTCCACCAATCTGTCTTTCATTCCTTCCATCTTTGACCTTTGTGTGTGGATTCTGTTTCTTGTACTGGCTTAAGACCACCTTAAAATAACACTCTTTTCCTCTCTCTGTTTTAATCACTCACTCTCTCTTTTCTTTTTCTCTCTATTCTTTCTCTGTCCTTGCTTCTCCTCAAAGCTTCTATCTTGGCCTTCTAAGGCCATAATGGCAGCTGTGATAAGGCTCGACGAAGGCCTGAACAAAACGGCAGAACTAATGCTGTCTGCTTCATTTATTCCTAAACCGATTTGGAAGAAAGAAAGAACGGCAGTTTTATGTGCCGTCACTCATTCATTATCAGAGCGGCAAGTACTCAGATTTCAAGAGTGAGGGCATGTATATGTCTGGGACTAAGAAAAGATGCCTAGCACCTCATGCTAGCAGTGTTGTTTCACGTAACTATAAGGGTCCCATAATACCTGGCACATATAAACAGCTGGATTACTGCCTACACATTATATGCTCTAGGCTGAAGGGTTACCATTTGGCTTGATTGACAGGAACAGATGGGAATGTGGGAAATGTGTCCCTGTCCTTCACATTCAGATTATTAATCATTGTCTGCACCTCTAAATGAAACCCTGTCCATTCATTAAAATGTTACAGCTCTGTGACTGTAAATCTAATGTTATGTGGTTTCTATTTACTTACAAAAGAGATGCAGGCAGCCAACAGCAGGATCCTGACCAAGAGATCTTCAAACTGCTCAATCACCAGCTCCCAGATGCTCTTACCTGAGAGAGAAGTTTTTTTTTGATATAGTTCAATCAGAAAGTCAATATGACCAAATTGTTAAGCACACCAATCATGATCTTTGTTTGACTGAAAAGAGAAGTGCATAAATCAAATTGCATGTTTTAAAGCAACTGATTTGCATAAAAAACAGACATGATGTCAATTCTACATCTAGGTCTTGTCGTATAAATCTATAATAACAGTAAATTGAGAACTTACCTTCATAAAGACACCAGACAAACCATCTCCCAGGTCACACCCAGAGGAGGCCCCCTATTGGCTGAAATCAGGCCAATATGGTGAGGAAGGGGCATGGCCTTGGGAAGAGAGATGGAGGGGTGTGATTGGAGCAATTGGGTGAAAACTGCAGCAGGGGTGAGCAGCCTTAAAAGCGGGGTTGAAATTGGGGTCTGTTTTTTAGAACATGGGAATAAGTGATCGCTCAAATGGTTTTGGGATGTTGATATACAGTAAGGGATGACCATGGGCTTGGCTTTTTGTGGGGATTAAAAACTTACAGGTCCTTGTTACAATTATGTGGTACAGGATTAAAATGTCTTTCTATTCTGTAAGAACTGTAATGTGAAGGTATGTTTGAAAATCAGTTGGGGGTAACGCATTACAAGTAACGTGAGTTATGTAATCAGATGACTTTTTTTCAAATAACTAGTATTATAACGCATTACTTTTCAATTTACAACAAAAAATCTGAGTTACTTTTTCAAACAAGTAACGCAAGTTACATTGTTTTCCCATTTATTCACTGACACCTCTCCTGTCCCCATGTTGAGAGAAATCAGGAGTGAGGTGCAGAGGCACTTCCTTCAGCTGGAGGCTTATTCATTTCACCTTCGGTGTGAAAGGGCCTTTACAGTTGCCAAAAATATAACCTTTGGTTATAAGCAAGCTCAGCCCGGGTGACAAAAAGTAACGCAAAAGTAATGTAATGCATTACTTTCCATAAAAAGTAATTAAGTAATGCAATTACCTGTAGTTACTCTTTATGGAGTAACACAATATTGTAATGCATTACTTTTAAAAGTAACTTTCCCCAACACTGTTGAAAATATATGAAGATCGTCAGATCTCCATCATCAGAGAGGATTAGCACCCAGGATGAACAGCTATGGAAAAAGTGTGTGAGGCTAAAACAATTCTTCAGACATGGCAAATGTGTTGTAAAACAGGCTGAGGAGGGATTAATTAGCAAGAGTGTGTAAAGAGGGAAAGAAAGAGGTGAACGAAGGAGGACTGTTAAGGTAGAAATTAAGACATTATTAGATTCTGAATGTCTCTAAGTTTGTAGATCTTTTGTCTTGTTGAGAGATTGTTTAGAAGAATAGACAGTGATAGATAACTGGTTAAATCATTTTCGCCAAACCAGATCAAGGACAGGAAGAAACCATTGTATGATTTTAGCCCATTTAATGGCCGTTCATTCATTTTTATACATTTTTTTAAGCAAACTTAATTTTTAATGCAACTTAATGCTTACAGTTAATTACTGTACTAATGAATATAGTAAAACAATGGATGAAGTAGGGAAGTTTTGCATGCAATATTTATTCTTTTTTACTCTGTATTGTGTAGTGAAGATATTTATTTGTTTAAAATGATATTGTATGAGTGGGTTAAAACAACAACCATATTTGAAGACATTGAAAGTGACAAATGATCAGTTGGTCAGTTAAATCAAGTCGCAGACTCTTTTGCTTTAGAGGGGGTCCCCCCTATCATCATTCACACATCACTTGAAACTAAATCCATACCATTAGACTAACAACATGACAATCAATTTTAATAATTCTTAGTGTGTAATTTATTTATTCTATTTTATTGGGTACATTTAATTAATGATGCAAAAAGTTTTATCATTTTGGCACTTGGTCATGCAGCCCTAGCATTACACATACAGGCACACCAGAGCATTATTAGACTATCATATGGGTGAGTAATTGTCTCAAAACATCCTTCAGCCCCTCCTTTTATTCACACCTCATATTCATGCCTACATGAAGTGCCTACAGTTTGTGCTTCTCTTCAGCTGCTACTCTGCCCCTTGAACTTATAGGCTTGTCGTTTCCAAGAGTAGGAACATTTAATTCCCCCATCAGATAAATAATGTTTTCATCCATCAACACTTCACTTGCACGAGTTCAAACAATTTTTTGAACATGCCACAATCCGTATTGTTATTAACTAAAACTAAAACAATTAAAAAAAAAGTGTACATTGAAATAAAATATGAATATTAGATGAAAAACATAGAATGAAAACTATTAGATGAAAAAAAAACTTAGAATTGAATGATAAATTAGAACAAATTATAAATGTTGACTTTGCAGCTAACTGAAATAAAATTAGTTTCTTTTATTGGCAAATAAAGATGGGCAAATAAAGTTATTTTATTCTTGTCTACACACAATGTTCAGTATATTCTCTGAAATCCATTCTCTGCATCTCCTCACTTAAATATATGTGTGAAGACTTGTTCTCCTACCCTGACTATTGTTATTTAAGTGTTCCAGTGAAACTAGACCCTGTTGTCTGTGTGTGTGGGGGGGGGTCGTTCTTGTGTAACTGTAGATTGAGCAGCAGTTGTGTGTGTCTTGTATAAATAGATCTGAGTGACATGAATCAGCAGCAGCTCAACCCAATTGTTCGATTTTTATGTTTATTTCAAGGATGGTGGAAGGGAGGTGACCCTCACAGCTCTTGTGTGGCCGAAGAAACGGAGAGCGTGAGGGCTACAGCAGATATTTAGCCATTCAGGTTCTTAGTAAGTGTTAAGGTTACAGTTCACACACAGGCCTCGGATATCCTGTGTTTAGTTTTATTTGTCTTTCTCTCCTCTTCTTTTTTTCTTTTCAGAGTACTTGACATTTTTCACCACTGACTCTCTGTGACTTTTTAACTCTGACCCCTTGCCCCCTTTCTGACCTGGGCCCCATCAGGTGTGCTTATGTGTCATGATTCTGATAACCCTGTCGTTGCACAGAATGTCTCCCGGTGCTGCTGGCATGTCTGTGCTCATGTTGCAGCATGGGTCGCATTGCTGCAAAAACGTGGTAGATGATTTCTTACCGTTCACTGTGAAATTCTTATATTCAAAATTAACCAAATTAAAAGTGACAGTTAATAAATTAAAAAGATTTCTAAATGTAAATAAATGCCGTTCTTTGAACTAGCTGTTCATCCAAGTGTCCTGGAATAAAAGTATCCCGGTTTCCACAAAATATTAACGGTTTTCAACAATAATAATAATAATAAGACTTGTTTCTTGAGCACCATATCAGCATATTACAATGAATACTGTACTGAAGACTGAAAATAGCTGTTCAGCTTTGCCATGACAGGAATAAATTACATTTTAACGTGTTTAAAAAAATGGTTATTTTATATTGTAATACAATTTCACAATATTACAGTTATATGGCATATAATTTTATGTTATCAGTAAAGCCCGCTAAAGTAAGAGTTGCTAGGTGTGAAAGATAACGGTGCACAAAAGCACAAAGCACTTCAATTTTAAAAACAGGAAGTTTGAGAGAAATTGATTCAGTGATGATGATCTTCTTCTGGTGAAGTGATTGACGGGGCAGCGGTCTGATGTTGTACTGGAGAGAGAGAAGACACATGGAACTGACACATGGAACTAACATTCCCTCATTTTATGAGTATATTTATCCTTCTGTAACACTGTCATTGTGTATGTGTCTTCCTTTTTAGGTCTGCACTTGGCCCGGGGAACATACAGAGACGCTGCTGATGAAAGGAAGACAGATCAAGGGAAAGAGAAGAGGGACTCAGGAAAGCCAAGATGCTGGGATGAATTGAAGGTTAAATATATATAGTGGCGAATGAGAGGAGTCTAGAATGGAGTTAGGGAAACAAATATGAAGAAAAAGATCAGAAGTGACAGAGTAAAAATGTGCATTTGAGGAATTAGAGAACATAATGAAGGGGAAAATAAGGGGGAACAACATCTTGGGAATATTTGACAGTGGTTGAGCTGTCAATTCTTGTTAACTGCCACTAATAAATACATTATTTTCAAACACATAAGTGATTACTGTGGCGTTTCCTTCTTAATATTTTTATTCATAAATAAATATGAATGTATTAGCAGATGCAGAAGCCAGTGTGATTTTACACATCTTACACACGTGTACAGTATGTTGTGTACATGTATGTGCGGCAAACAAGTGCGTGACGGGTGTTGGACAGGAATGGTGTTAAATTCTCAGCACTGTCCCTATTCTTGGTTATTTGTATCTGTGGCTCCAATGTATGGTGCTATAATCCAGTCTTTAATGACTAACGCCTCTATATACGCACACAGACAGCACGCACACATATGACATGTGAATATGTTCAGGATCATCTAGACAAACCCAGAAATGCACTTTTTAATGTTATTTAACAATGTTTTGTACAATCACATTATTAAGGGATATTGCATGCTTTGAAAAATGTTTGGCACAAAAGCATAAAAAATGTTTTGTGAAGTCACTTAAATTTGCCAAATGTGGCAACATCTAAATTAAAATGTGAAAAATATTATTTAATTATTTCTACATTAGGTTACACAAGTTAAATTTTTACATTTCTACAGTGTTAAACTGTACATTGTATTCCCATTTGATCTTATCACCAAATGCAATAAAACATTTTGCTTCATTATTTAAGTTGGGTGAAAATAGCAGCATATTATTAACATATTAGCATATTATTAGATGGGGGAAAAAATTTTTTTTCACAATTTGGACTTTGTTTCTTGCAATTCTCAGAAAATGTCAAAGTTGTGAGACATACGCTGAACGCGCCTCTTTAAATGGTTTCGTGGTGCTCGTTATTGTATTTTAAAACACTATTGCAATGTTTTCAACTGACATTATGGCATTTAAAATAAAATGATCCCAAACGTAACTGTGGCGCGTGTGGCTGTGCTGCGCAGTCAGTGAACCGCTTCCATCGGCGCTGCTGCAGCAAAACACACTGTTGCTCACATCAAACATTTTTATGTGAGTATTATGACCAGTACTTAATTTGATCCTGCTGGATCCTGTTCCGG